TATGAAGATGGAAAATCTCATGGGGTATGTAAGGGAGGATGGTGTGTATATTAAGTGGTTGAAAAAATGCGTGAGAGAAGTGTGTGTGCATGCACATGATTTTATGAATGTTGGTTGATAATAGGTGATAGCTGAATATATGTAATTCACCAACCTAAGAAGCAAGCGCGGCGGTGAGATTGACAGTGGGGGCCCTTTATGATTGCAATTTTCAAAGAATCCAATTGTAATTGGACTGTCACATTGGACGCGGGATTGATTCCTTTGCTTTTGAATATGAAATAGCAATGGCAACAAAAACATCATCATTATCATCATCATTGTATGTGAATGCCCCTGTTAAACGGGAATGACCAACATTTTCTTGGAATTTGAGTTTCCTTCATCAACACTCACAAAAACTGTTTTTATCCTTGCTAAATGAAAAATTACTTCAACTGTTAGTTTGCCGATATATCTTCAATGGAACATCAGACAATTAGGATTCTCTAAGCCACATAATCTAATGCGAGGAGAATTCATTTTTATTATATGGAATTTTGTTTTGATCTGTCAAAATATTATTAATAGTTATCAAATGTTGTTTTAACCACGAATGAAATTGAGGTAGGATGAGAATGAATTCCCATTACATTGGATTACATCAACCAATGAGACCTTAAAGTTTAAAATTTTAGTTTAAAATATTTGAGTTTGAATTTTTGAATAGGAAATATTAAAGGAGATAATTAAGATATATTAAAAGATAATTAAAATAAAAATGTTTAAAATTTAAATTTTTAATTTAATTAATTTATAAAATTATTTTTAAAAGATAATATTTATCTGAAACTCAAACTATATTCTTAATCTGCTATTTTTTTAGTATTTGCTAGTGGATTATTTAGGTGTGGAACCTCGGACTAAGGGCAACAGCTTTTGGTTGTGGACATGAATCATTGGGTCAAAATGCCAGTTCAAGAAAGATGTGAGATTTGAGATGAATGATTGTATTTGACAAATCTTTTTTTTCTCGATATGAAAAGAAACTATATATATTTTTTATATTAACCCTTTTATCAGTTCTATGAAATAAGATTTTAATTAGTAAAGATTAATATTCGTTTTTTTTTTGATAAAAATATTTTAAATTTATTAAGATCATTTTAAATGTATAATTTATAATTATTTATCTTAAACTATTAAATATAATATATTTTATTCTGATTTAAAAAATTAAACAATCTATTTATTTATTCTGAATTTTTTTATCAAAACAAATTTTCAATTAAACTATATAATATTCAACAAATAGCTAGTACAATTTTGTTCGCTCTCATCCTTTGTGGAAAAAGCTATGTAATATAGTTTGAGATTAATAAATTATTACTTTTTCATAATCAAATTTCATCTTATTCTCAGCATTGAAATGAACTCATCAAAGAGAAAATGTAGAAAAAATCTTAAATTTTCTTCTCAACAAGTATGAATGTTTTCGTTGAAGAGTTTATATGTAAAATTATATTATTAAACCAATGAATTATTAGTTTAATGATATAAGAATCGACTTAAAAATTGAAGGTCTCATGTTGAAGACTACCGCTAACTTTGATCAGACCTCATTTAACAGTAATGGCTGTTAAATACTGATAATAAAAAAAAAAAACTGATATATCAAAATCAAACAGAAGAACTGCTCCATGATTTTACTATGTCAAATAGTAGTATAATAAAAATGTAATGCCTAATCTTCAGCAACAAGAATATCAGAAAACGACATTGTTAATCAATTAAGCAGATGATGGGCAGAGGCAAAGGTCCCTCCCATGACATAAAGTGGACATACTTTAGCAATAGAGCAGCCAAATTACAATAAATAATTGTCTCAAAAGTGACAGCACCCTTCCCCTACAATGTTGTACTGGTTAACAAATGATCATCATTATAAGTTGTCCAGCTCCATTGATAGGATAGCTGTTTGGAGGGGAATATATTTTCCTTTGAACAAGTTAGGTGGTTTTTTTTTTTTTTTTATTTAATGATCAGATTCCAATATAATAAAATTTATTCACATTTATTAAATATATTTAATAAAGTGGACTAATTTCGAAACATTTTTAGTATTTTAATATTTTTTTCTCCTTCGCTAATCCTTCACTCAACAATATCACATTCATGGTCTTAATATCTACAAATTTATCCCTTTTCCCAAAATTATCTCTTCCCTTATTTCTAAGTTACCATTTCATTTGTAAAAAAATAATTTACAAGCTTTTAAATCTCTTTCTAGATTTAAAAAAAAACACTAATGGACCTTGAACCAGCATGGCTTAATTGATCATGTCCTCACCTTAATCCAAAAAAAGAAATAAAAGCATTTAAATCTCCTTTTAGAGCTTAAAAACACCAGTAATGGACCTTAAGCATTAGCTCAATTGATCGTGTCCTCACCTTAGGAGTTGGGATTACCAGGTCTCTGAAAGTCAAATTGCAACACCTTTAATCATTTCTCTCTACTCAAAACTATGATTAATGGGCCTAATTTTTCTTCTTTCCCTTTTTCTTTCAAGTATCAGATCCAAACTACAATCCACAAACCAAATGGTATGGAAGATACACAAATATTATATCTTCCTTCTCTGGCAAACATGACCAGATCAGAACTAATCAAGGGAAGAGCATCAAGCACCCCAAGCTTGCGAAGAAGACCAGCATAATCGGTAATCCGGCCATACCATCTGCATAGTTTTAACATGAACGAATATTGCATGACACGAGTTCATCCTAGAATATCAATAAAAACAGGGAGCAAGCATAGAAAGTTAGTCTAGCCAAAGATGTCATCACCTACTCATGCAGTTGGCTATTGTTGTTGGGTGGGATCAGTTGAAACATCGAAACCAGGAGGAATGAAAACAACATCATCCCATGTTGACGTAGAACTATCCTGCAAATTTTGATTGTCGTTATAGATTTACAGATCAAACAACAAATGTTTCTTCTCCCTAAAGCTCCATTTTCTATACTAGAAGCAAGCTGTTGAATGGAAATTATTAAAGCAGCAACTTACTTTCATCCCCTTGATTATTTCCTCAAAAACAGCAACCTGTAAATGTTTTAATATAAATTTGTTAGTGTATGGAATGTTAAATCTTCAAAAAATAAGCATACTATACTAACTATATTTATTTTTCTTTTTTGGTGCAAAAGAGGCCACAGCCTGGGAAAAGGGGAAGGTGTTATAGAAGCCAAGATTTGAACCTCAAACCTGTTAAATGCCATCTCTTATAAGTGGCTGCATGAATCAACTGAGCTAAACTCCAGATTCAACTAAATATATTATTTGTGTGTGTGAACAAATTCAATTTTATTAAGCGAACGGGAAAAAGTACAGTTCTAAGCATTCTTTTCAAGAAAATAGCAACATACCTGAATATCTCCTGGTCTAAAAGCAGGATTCAGTTGATTCTGTTGGTGGGAAGCTCTCAGAAGTGATTTCTCTAAATCCTCCTAAAAAATAATTTCAAAACATAAGAAGGAAGTAATAAGATGAAGACCATCCATGAATACTGCATATATAAGAAGGCTATCTACTTACCAACCTTTCTAAAGAAAAATGGTCGATAGCTCTTATTTTGACTTCTTAATACCAAGCTCTTTGACTGAAAGCCAAATATTTCAACAATTCCAAATGTTAAAATTAACAAGTCAAAGTGGTGCTTGCGCACAAATGTAAAAAATAAAACTGCAGGACAGCCATGTTCTCCCAAGCAATGATGTTTAAAGCAAATGCAGCTAAACAGTAACATACCAGGTTCCACGGCCCAGCGATGCAAAGGGTTCAAATTCTAAGAAAGAGCGAAGAAAGAGCAGGACACAGAAGAAAATTGTAGAGCAAGATATATAGCCAGCACAAATGCTTAATGAATTTTATAAATCACATATTCCATTCCAATGGCATTACTAGTTATTGCAGAGTAAATTTCTAAAATATAAGGAGACAATGAATGTCAACTCTCAACCTAGAGAACATGGCAAAAGGTGACCAAAGCAATTTAAGCCATCACACTTTCGGACAACATATCAACTTAGCAGCCTGGATGAGATTCCCTCATGTTAGGACACCCTGCAAATGAGAGCTCCTTGGAAGGAATGGAAAACGAGGGGGAGTGAGGGGGGCAGAGGGTTCTAAGGCCAGGGAATAAAGAAACAGCTCATTCTTGAATGTTATTGCATATTATAACTCAACTGTTCCATTTACATCAATAAAAGTACATCTTATAGCAAAAAACCCTATTAAGATTAAGTCCTAGTCGTTAAATAAGTCTAACTTCGTTCTCAAAAAAATAAAAAATAAAAAAGGTTTAACCTCAACCACAAAAATTAACTTAAAAGAAAATAGAAATCCCTTGAAATAAAACTTTCCAAACAGTTGCATGAACAATACATGCTACAACACTTGTTACAGCATAGCTATTATCCTCTTTTATATAAAAAGAAAAATGATTTTTACTCCTGCATCTTTGGATGTCATTCTAGAACTTTTACTTCAGTTTAGGATCAGAGACAATCCATTAAGATTGATTTTTCCCACTTTATCCTCAAATCACAGTGATCAGCAACTAGTAATGATTATGTATTTTGAAATGTACCCATAAAATAAAAGACATAAACAAAAATACACATGCAAGTAGAAACAATGCAGAATTAAGAGCATGCCAGATCTCACTAATAAAACATAACATGCACATGAATTCATGTACACTGAGATTGCTTCAGAATTTGTTTTCTTACTAGAGAATGTATCATAACTACTTTTAGCTTCCACATAATTTAGTAAGCTATTTGATTATTCCTTATTGCACACACACACACATGCTGCACATGATTAGAAAGGACCTGGAAAACTGGAACACCGGCGAAGCCATCATCAGAGAAACCAGCCCTTTCCCTTTCCTATTCAAAGGAAAAAAAAACAATAATTTTCTTGCGTACGCACTTTATATGTAATTTACAAACAATAATTAAATAGGTAAACATAAACGATAAAAAATCTCTACAAGTACATGCACGGAACGTGCATTGCTGCCTGTATGTGCACAAACATGCAAGAAAAAAAAAAAAAGAGGAAGAAAACTATATTGAATGAAGAACAATAAAAATAATCAGCCTTCGATGCAGAGAGAAGAAAAAGTGACCTCATAAATGTTATGACCATAGCTGGTACTGTTCAAAATCTAAAAAAAAAAGGCATTATTTTGATTTCTTTCAACATACATTTGAACCAAAATATGGGTCCTCCAAAATTTCAAGTTCACTCTATATTTCTTAGTTGATAATTTGATATAAATACTCTCAATCCGTAGAAACTTAATAGGTTTTCTAAGAATCACATAGGTAAAGAATTTTACTTTTAAGCAATGCACCAGCCTTTTTCTAGCACACTTCTTAATTTAAAAAAAAAAAAAAAAGAAACTACTGATGCAATCAACATCTGACACTTTGGCTACTTATAAGGGCTTCATTCAGTTTGAAATCGAAAGCTAAAGAGGTAAGTAATTTTTCATAAAAAAAATTAATTAAAGACCAATTAAGATTTAACAGAGATATCACAGCCAACGATTACAAAGGTTCACAGGAGAACAAGTATCTTGAAAGCGAACTTTGCACTCAAACACCGAAGCAAATCAGGCTCCACATATGATGTTTCTCCACCCAGGACAATAGAACATGTAGACTAGTTTCATACTAAAAGAATTCATAAGATAATCCCTTTTCGTTATACCAGCCAAACCTCTGGGCTAGTGGGCAAAGGTTTACGATCATCAGTGGCTCAAGTCCTCATGTCAGGCATTTGCCTTTGTGAAGGTTTTTTAAAACATATCACATCTATTACATGAAAGAAAGAAGAGGGAATATAGGATTCATCTATTTAAGCTTGAAAATGATGCCAAGCTTTAAAAGTTAAAACAAGACATATAGTCTCCACCATGTAGTCCCATCGATCTTGAAACTTATAAGAACCCAAAATAGAGAGCATTAAACTCATTTTATCCACATACCACGAAAAGAGAATCACTGAAAAATCTGCTCATTCTATAAGTAACCACTCACTCTAAGTGCATTCTTGATCTGAGTTGAATCTGGTATCAGTCTAAACGTCACACTATCAACCTTAAGCTGGAAAACCTGCAAAACCCATGTCCAAGTTTGATTCCTACAATGTTTATCTCACTCATATAATGCAAACAAACAATTCATTACACAATAAACTAACTAATTCAAATTAAAAAAACACAGAAAGTTAACAGTCTAATAACGGGCTTTTTTTTTCTTACTTTTTGCTTCCTCAAAATGTTGCTAAAAAGAAATAGTAAAAAGTAAAAAATAATCATCTCTCTCTAAAAATGAAAAACAGCTGATATTCAACAAACTTTCAAATTCTTCCATAAAAAAGTAAAATTATGCATGTTATTCACGAAATTTTAACTTTTAATTACTCAAAGATGTTACTTTTGCTTTTGTATATAAAGGCACTTTTCTTTTTGCTTCTGGAAGGAAGGAAAAAGCAAGTATCAAACACAACAATGAAACAGACACTTTTGTACATTTTGTACAAAAATTCAAACTAACAAAAGCATTTGAAAAAGAAAAGAAACAGGGAAAAAAAGAAAGAAAGAAATGACCTTGCAGAGAGCAACAGCAACTACTTTAGAACCTCCTTTTCTCATGCGAGGATACATACTCTTCATCTGTTCCAAAAGAGCCTCAGCGTCCTCCTTCTTGAAACACAACAATCCAAGCGATTTTTTAGTCGAAACACCCGACACCAACATGAATTCCTCCTCCGAATTACTCAAAGCATAAACTGGAACCCCAGCCAATCTCTCTTCTATTGCCTCAGCCGACAAGGCGGCCCCTGATTTTTTACTGAAATCAATCTGGGTCTTGCTAGAATCAGCAACTCGAGCAAAAACTGGGCCTTTTGGAGAAAAAGAAGGCGGATTAAAGTGAGAAAAAGTGGAGTTAAAAGCGTCCTTCAACTGATGGTGAGTTTGTTGGAAGAGAGAAAAGCAGTGGGTTTGGAGATTAGAGAAGGCTTGCTGGAGGTTTAGGAGAGAAGGGGGTTGTTTGGACAGAGAGAAAACTTTAGGGTTTTTCGAGTTGCTAGTAGAGTTCATTTTCTCGGGAAAATTTTACGCAAGGACTGGAGTAAAAGAGTGAGGTTTTGGGGTTTGTTAGCACTTGAACTAGTTAAGTCCTGTTTGCGCCTGAGCTTCTATAAACAGTGGGTAGAGTTATTTTAAATGTGCTGTAAATTAGGATTTGACAAACTGGATATGGAAATGCTGCAAAACGTTAAAAAAATTATTTTAGTTTTATTTTTTATTATTTTTAATAAGTAAATAAATAGTTATCTTTATTAAATTAAATCACACATTTTTAGGTTAAAAATAATAAAAAATAAAATGAATTTAATTGAAAAAATTGAAAAAATAAAAAATATATGAAATAATATAATTCTCATAATTTTGTGAATTATTGTAGAGTAAATTGAGAATATAAAAATTTTCATTAAAAATTTGTTATTAAAATTAATATTTTTTGAAGAAATTTTGATTTTCAACTAAATTAAAATCTACTTCTTGCATAAATTAAAATTTGTAAAATTTTGAGAACTATACATTTGAATTTTACTTTTACATTTAAATAAGTTATTCCATAAATTGCTCCAAACACTTTCTATTCACTCAAAGGAAATTGCACTTTTTTTAAGAAAAAAAAAAAGAAAATCTTATAAATATATAAAAATTAAAACTTCTGATAAAAGAGAAAAAATTCAATGAGGATAATTTATTTTTTTGACATGTAGGTTGTTTTAAACAATTATCACGTGTTTTACATTTAATTATTTTGATTTGATTTTATATACATTTTATTAATTTAAAAGACATTTATTTGACTAAATTAAATTATTTACTTTCTTATAAACATCCAATATTCTTACCTTTTATAAATGTGTTACAATTGAATTATTTTAAATCATTTTCAATCAAATTCAATTCTTAATTTTAAATATATACTATAAATAAGAAATATGTTTTGAAAGCATTGACTATTTAATAACCATAATTTTAATATTTAATTAAGGAATAATTTATATATTTATTAACCTAAATGAATATAAGGCATATAATGCTAAAAATTCAAATCTAAAATAAAAAGTTTAATTAGCTGGAAACATTTTTTTCATATTTTTTTCTATATAAGTATTAATTACAATTGGTATAAATTGTTATCTTACAAGAATTTTTTAAAATATTGTGTAGACTTTTCAAAATAAAATATATATTACATAAATAATAAATAATCTATTATAATTTTTTTCATAAATTACTCTCAATTTATAAAAGTCTTTCAAATTCTTATTATAAATATAGAATCTTGTATGCTAAGGTCATGTTTGGCACACAAATTATGATAAGATATAATAATATGATATTATGAATAAGGTTAGATTAAATAATGTTATTATATCTTATGTTTAATGTGTACAAAGTTTAAGATAGGATAATTTATTTATTAGTCAAAATTATCTTTTTTCAAAGTTTATACAATTTAAATTATTAATATAATTTTTAAGAGTATAATATGAAATTTAAGTTTAATACCATAAACTAAAAATAATATTTTTCACTTTGGGAGGATTGAATTATTTTATGCCAAAAGGATGATAATCTTTTTTATAATTTTATCTCTTTTAATTAGATACAAACTAAATATAATACAGAATGATTATTATACTATCATATCCATTATCCTATATATTAAACATGACCTAAGGGTGCTAGGAGGTTAGTCTTCAAAAGCCTCCAAATGTATTGATTTTATTATGATCAAGAAAACTTTGATCACTAAGTTACATATCTTTTTACGTTGATAAACTTTTTTCTTTGTAATGCTTGTCGATTGATTTTATTTATCTTTTATTCATTTTTTTATGCATGTTCATATTCTATTTATCGATTCATTTTCAATATTAGCTGTTTTTTTTTAATTTTTGAATGGAATAATTTTATAAGTTTTATCTCTTTTTAGTTCTTAGTCATTAAGAAATTTGTCAGATTTTTTTTCATGATTAATAATAGATATGAACAAGATAAGATTTTTTAGTTAAATTTGGAGTTTAGAATTTAGCACAAGTTTTTGCTCTCTTATTTACCTTTTATTTTACAATTTTTATCCATATTTAATATGTAATATATGGTTTCAATCCCATTCGCCAAAGAATATAAATTCACTTTTCTACTTTGACCTTAGTGAATACAATGCAAGAATGGATACTACCTATCCAAGGGTTTGCTGTTGTTATTATGAGTTCTAGATGTCTTGCACCAAAGCAAGGGGCAGCAGCAATCAAAAGTTTCTACAAAAAATTAATTTTAAATGGAATAAATTTTTATTGTTTGGAATTAAATATTATTTAATTTTATATAAATATCACTATTAAATAATATATGATACAAAGCATTCTTATTTATATTATATAGGTACATATATTTTTATTTATATTATATAGGTATATATTTAATTTACAATATTTTTATTTTTCCATTATTTTATATTGAGAGTTTTTATTTTTCATATAAAATTTATTAGTTATGTTATATATAATTGAGTTATATATATATATATATATATATATATTATATAAAATTGCATATCCATGTATCGCAAGGCTTAAAACTAGTAAATATATAAAAGTTAAAAGCCTTTGGTAAAAAAGAAAAATTTCAATGTGGATGACCTATATTATTAACATGTGGATGATCTAGAAATCGTCATGTGTCTTATATTTTATTTTATTTATTTTTAAAAATTAAATTAATTATATTTATTTTTTGTTACTATTTATCCTAAATTACTTTCAATTAAATTTATATTAAAAGTAATAAAACTTTAATTGCCATCATCATAAAATAATTTTATATATTTTTTTCAATTATAATATTCAACTCTTAAATTACAGCTTATATAATCTTATATAAATATATAAAAGCCAAAACTTTTGGCAAAAAAAGAAAATATTCAATGTGGATGGATTATAATATTGACATATGAATAACTTTTATCTATCGTCATGTGTCCTGTATTAAATATATTTATTCATATTTATTTATCTTCAAATTGATATGAATTGATTTAATTTCATAAAAATTTTAAAATATTTCAATGCATTAATTATATTTAGTTTCTTTTAAATGTTCAATTGACTTACCTTTTATTTTCAATAAAATATCCTAAATCTTACATAAATATATAAAAGCTAAAGTCTTTGGTTAACAAAAAAAAAGTCTAATGTGTAATGTTTATTCTTTTGACATATGGATAGTCTTAGACAATCTTCATGTGTCTTGTATTTAATACATATACATTCTTTATTTAACAAATAATTTTGTGAAAAAATTAATTACAATTATTCACTTATTAATAACTAATATTCTTGCTTTCAATAAATACATTACTATTAAATACATTAAATCATTGTTAATTAAATTAATTAAATTAAATAGACAAGAACAAATTTTATTTTATACTATATAAGTTTTCAATTGGTTACAAATTAAGACAATTTAAAGTATACAATACATATTAATATGTATATGGTAATATGTAATTTTTTAAAAAAGAAATCTGACAATGAAGGCTAGCATTTATTTCCTTTTCCCTCTATGGAAACAATTAAATTAATCAAAATTTAAAATTTTGATTTTTCACCCAAAATCATAGGGATTTTCCTTTGCCATAAATAGTTTATGTTGCTTATAAATACCCCTATGAAAGTGAATGTAAACATTGATTTTTAACTTTACCGACTAATCTTTTATTTTTATTTTTGTGAAATAATCAATAGGTGTTAAAACACTTTTCCTTCATGTTCTCTTTTAACACAATTTAATCTTTGTGCTACCTTAATTTATCGGTTTGTAATATATTAAATAGTATATTTCCTTGGTTTTATATATTTTATGTTTTATTGATTCTTTTTATTATTAGTTTTTACATTATTTTGATTTATCATGTTATTAAATTATTTATATTATTTTGGATATTATACAATTTTTTTTCAGGTCTATTGGCATATCTTACTTTTTTATTAACTTATTTTAGTACTTAGTAAGTTTGTTTTATTATTAATATCTTTATATTAGTACTATTGTAAATGATTTTATTTTTAAACTTTATTATCTTCTTTTCTTAACATTTTTTATGAATAAATGTTTATAAATAATATCTATTATTTTTCATATATAAGAAAATTATATTTTTGAAGAGAATGATACTTTAAAAAAGTGTGCATTTCTTTTAAAGTGGGTAGTTTTTTTTTTTTTTTTCAAATTGAAAATATACACATGCATATTTAATTTTATATTTAATATTTAATTTTTTGTAATTTTTTTTATTTAAGTTAAAGAGCATTATTATAAATGACATGCTATTTCAATGTAAAATACTTTTATATAACATCGTTTAATTCAATAAGGCTACATTTTAATTCATAAATTTCTTTATTAAAAAATTTGCACAAATCTATGTCTAATCTTTCTTTTTTTTTTTTTCTTCATATTAGTCGTTTTTAAGTATACGTTGTTTATGTATAAATATTTTCTACCTATTTTTATGCAATCAAAAAGAAAAAGAGAAATGGAAGATTTTATATATATCTTTTTTGTTAATTATTGTATTTATCACTATATTTAAAAACATTATGTGATAAAGTCTTTTTATTATCTAAATTGGCATTATTAAGAAGTAATCGAAAAAGATATCAAAAACCAAAATCAAATATTCATGATATAAATTATTTTTAACATTTTTTTCATAATATACAAATCTACATTTGTAACAAAAGAATTTGCTATTAATGATGTTAATTAAAGTTTTATTATCTTTTATATGAATTTTAACTGAGAGTAATTTAAGATAAATACTAAAAAATATTTTTTTATTCAAATTAGTTAAAACAAATAAAGGTTGACCATTAACAAAATTAAAATTAATTACATCAAAAATATTAAAATTAGTAGTAATTACTCATTTAATATTTTGTCAACCACTCCCATACTAAAGGCAAACAATGAAAATTTTAATATTTCCTTGTATAGGATAGTCTTTACAATTGCAAGAGGGTTTTTGGTATGTTTTATGTTTGACCACAATCGTATCAAATGGTTCTTTGGTTGGTGGGTTGAAAAGGTCAAAAACTGGCAAAG